CTATGGCATTGAGGGAAAGCTGTTAAATTGGTTAACTAGCTACCTTTATCAAAGAATACAAAAGGTTATCATTAATCATTCTCGGCACTTTGCATTTTTTTTCAGCTGAGGTACAATGTACCCCAAAGATCAGTTCTTGGTCCTTCATTGTTTAATGACATTGCAGAACAGTTAACTTATTTATGAAAATAACACTTTGTTCGTTTTATTTGGGTCATGACCAAGAACTTATACAATCTCTTGTTGGTTGTAACCTGAGACAGCTGGATGAATGGTCAAGAAAGTGGCTTATGTCTTTCAATCCTATAAATACCCAGAACTAATGATTTTCTCAAATATTTAGACACAAGATCTTAATTTTACTTTGAACTTAAAAGATATCAATTGTTCTATCTCATAAACATCTAAGGGTTTACATTTAGAAGTGACGCAAAATGGAATAATCATATTAAAGATATATAAAACAGTGATAAAAAGTATCTTAATTTAATGCGAAATCTTAAATATCAATATCCGACCAAAATTTGGAAAAAATATATATCTTGTATTTGTTAGACCAATTATTGAATATGCAACTGAAGTATTGGGGGGACAATTGTGGAAAAGTGTGTTCAATTGAATTAGAACAGCTTCAACTTGAAGGTTTACCTGTTTTTACAAATTCTAAAAGAGGTTGGTTGGGAAACTTTAGAGGAACGCAGAAAAAGAAGAAAATTACAATTGTTTTATAAATTCAGAATAATTATGCACCTGAATATGAATAAACTTTGGAATAATCTGAACACATCAGTTCGTAATGTAGACTCATAATTAAAATTCAAAATAATTATAAAAAACACGACATTAGAAATGAAGATCCATCTCAACATGATTTATATGGTCCTAGAAATGTGAGCTTTTGCCATCACTTGGCGTCCGTCGTCGTCGTCGTCGTCCGTCCGGTGTAAACTATTTCAAACATCTTCTCCTCTGAAACTACTGAACCAATTGCAGCCAAACTTATGCTGAATGATCCTTAGGTTATCTAGTATAAAATTTGTGTTTTATTAACAGTTTCGTAAAAAAAAACATGGCGCCATAGCTAAAAATAGAACATAGGGGTAAAATGCAGTTTTGGGCTTATATCTTAAAAACTTAAGCATTAAGAGCATTGACTGGGTTAAAAGCGTTCATTAGGTCAAGATCTACCTGCAGTAAAATTTGTTCAAACATGTTCAGCAAAGTAAGATCTACAACAAAGTCAATATTACTAAAATTATTAATTGGCCCCTTAAGGAGTAATTGGCCTTCAAAGACGATTTTACACAATTTGTTCATCATGTTGTTTAACTTTTAAAAATCTTCTACTCTGAAACTACTAAACTAATTTCAGCCAAACTTATGCTTAATGATCCTTATGGTATTATGTATAAATCTTGTGTTTTAATTTGTGTTTGATCCAAAAATATTGTCATCATGGGTTTAAATAGAACATAGGGTAAAATGTCGTTTATGACTTATATCTCAATACCATAGCATTTAGAGCAAATCTGATCAGAAGTAAAAATGTTTACAAAGTTAAGTTATACCTGCCTTGAAATTTTCAGTTGAATCAGACGACCCATAAAGGGGTAATTTGTTATTAGACTCATTAAGGATTTATTGCCCTTTTAAATAAATTTTACACAATTTGTTTATCAGGTTTGATAATTTTCATAAATCTTCTCCTCTGAAAATTTTGAACAAAGTTAGACAAACGTAGGCAGGTAATGGTCAAAAATGCACAGCTGGTCAAGATTTGTCAAAATTTGTCAGGATTTGTCAAGATTTGTTAGGGGGGTAATATTTAGACAAAACAAAAACCTAGTACATGGGCTTATTGCTTTTGAATTGGTATATTCTTTTTGCTGTTTTTTGTAATCTTAAATTTGATTATAGATATGGAGAGACTGTAAACAACAATTTGTTCAGCAAACAAATAACCACAAATAACTGAATATATATATATATATATTTTTTTTGTTAAATTGGTTCTGAGTTCGGGATCGCGCATTTTCCTTTATCATTTTCTACGTACATTGACTTCCTGTTTATCCTGAAAGGTAAGATCACATGATGTTAATGAACAACTTACAATAAATCACTGTGATGTTAGTCTTTTCTATGAATATTTGATAAATAAGATGAATGCATCTACAGTTTCATACCTATAAAAGATAATATCATGAAATCCATTTTTTTTAATTCTTTTTTTATCACTGAACGGTTTTGAAGATTTATAGACGTTTTGGAGTTTGTTTATACTGTAACATGTCAAGAAACTGGTGTTATACAATTAAACCTGTTGAAAAAATTGTTTTCATTACTTGCCTTAAAAATAACTGTATTTTGTCTTGTAAAAACAGACTTTATTACAGGCCCAGGTTCTCATTATCCTGATGCAATGTTGTCATCTATATTAATTATTATAGACATTTTGGCTCTCAGACATTAACTTATGGTTCATCATAACAAAGAGACACATATTTTCAAGTAAACACTATTCTGAGCACAGTCAAAAATCTTGTTAGTCGAGTAACCATAATAGGCGCTTCTCTCACTTCTACAGTTTAGCTCCTTTTCGTCGTCAATCGTCGTCTGTCGTCGTCCATAGTTAACTTTTACAAAAATCTTCTTCTCTGAAACTACTGTGCCAAATTTGGTCAAACTTGGCCACAATAATCATTGAGGTATCTAGTTTAAAAAATATGTCTGACGACCCCGCTTACCAACCAAGATGGCCGACATGGCTAAAACTAGAACATATGGGTAAAATGCAAGTTTGTCTATTATTTTAAAAACTTTTATAAATAGAGAAAATCTGACAGAGCAAACATGTTTAAAATGTTGAGCTCTACCAATTGTCCATATACGTCAAAACTGTCAGACAACATCTTATAGGAGTTATTGCTTTTAAATGACAAATTTTACCATTTTTTTCATTTTTGTCAATTATCTTGAAAACTATGGTAGAAAGAGATAAACTTTAAATGCAAAATTGATCAGCAAGACAAGTTCTACAAATACGTCTCATGATCAAAATCGTCAGGCGACTCTTTATTAGAGTTATTGCGCTTTGATGACGAGTTTTACCAATTTTTGCGTTTTTGCCTTGTATCTTAAAAAACTATAATAGATAGATAGAAACTTAAATTGGCAAACATGATCAGAAAGACAAGATCTACAATTAAGACAAAAACAGGAAATTGTCAGACGACTCCTTATTGGAGTTATTGCCCTTTAATGATGATTTTTACCATTATTTTGCGTTTTGCCTTATATAATAAAAATAATAAAACTTAAATAGACACTTTAAATCACAAAGATGATCAGCAAAGCAAGATCTACTAACTAGTCAAATTTGGATAATATAGTTAGTAGACTGTCACTCTTTATAAGAGTGATTGCTCTTAAATGAGGATTTTTTTTTGCCCTCTTGTGTTTTGAGCAAAAAGTAAAGAAGAAAGAGAGAAAACTAAACTAATCAGATGGGAGTTATGGCCCTTGAACTAAGGTGATTAGTGTTTCATAGCTCCGCAAAAAAAATTAATATTCAGAAGATTTCAACTAAAGTATGGTATGAAATTGGTGTGGTGCATATACAACATATGTTTACAGTACTATAGAGACTAAAATATACCAAAACTGATAAGCAATTATAGCATTTATTGATGTGTACCGACAAACAAAATCCAAACGAACAAAACAAAATGGCTGCCTCCTATGCTGAAGCAGCTAGTAGCGAAAACAAAAGCAAAAATGATGACTACAAGATTGGTAATGTCAAACCAATATTTCTCCTTGAAGCAGACGTCTTTGGTGATAATGCTGTAAATTATAAAGGCCAACGACTTTTTCTTACAAACACAGAAGTCTATAAGGCAATAAACGAGCAGGTGCCAGTAAGAGCTTTAATTGGACTACAGAGAGTTCGAGGCGTCTGGCGAATATATTTCGACAATGAATATGACAAAAAAGATCTACTGTCCTTGGGGATAACCATAAGAACAAAATCTATAGCCCTGTACTCTAGAAACCCAAAAATAACAATGGATGAAGAACAAGATACAATGAAGGTACGAGTCAAAAATGTGCCTCTATCCGCAGATGACGATCAGATAATTAGAACTCTTGAAACTACAGCTAGCAAGTGTGAGGTAATTACTCATTTCAGGGAAAGATTAAGAATTGATAACCTCCTTACAAATTGCAGAACAGGCGATCGGATTGTAATATGCAAACCGTTTAATCCCCCGCTGCCAAAGTCATTGCAGATAGGCAAATATTGGGCAACAATCAACCATTTTGGCCAATCGTTCACAAACAGACCAAATATGAAGTGTAGCAAGTGCTTCGAAGAAGGACATTCAGCAAACACTTGTCCGAATGGATGGAAGTGTAGAAAATGTGGTCAGCTAGGCCACAAGCAATATGAGTGCAATGAGCATTCGGATGGTGAATATGATGAAGATGATACATATATGACAAACATGGATGATGTCGGCAATCAAGATGTACCCAATGCAAGTGAGAATGATGAACACAACAAAGACTGTACCGATAATAGTGATAAGTCATTCCAAGAAAGTGAAGTCTATTCCCAGCGCAGGACAAAACCTCTCGTGAATACCAAGGATAGAAGTAGGTCAGATAGTGACAGGGAACATTCGCAATTGATCCTCGGTACTCAGGAGAGAAGGTCTTACGGAAAAGACAGTTCACAACAACAAAACCAAAAACCAAAAAACATAGGAAGTGTTGACAGGAGACCGGGTATCTCAAAGTATCTGACAACAAAACCTAGTCATGAACAAAGCAATACAACAAATAGCACACCAAAACAGTCAAAAACCAGGACACAAAACATTGAAAAATCTCCAGTTACTCCAACAGAGAATTTACATGACGCAACAAGAGATGAGGCTGCAAAGAAGCCGAAAAAGAAGCGCTAATTTGATATTTGTTAAATGAATTACAAAATCTAAGACTAGAATTCTTTTATTATAAATTATAAAAAAAAAATCTAAAAATATGCATTGTAAAAACCATATTCTTCACAAAACTGTATGTATAGCACTGTCTTCATTTATTTTTAACTGTATATTTTATTTGAAATATGTCTTAGTATGCTTGTGTGACATAACTGTTGAAGGTTGTCCACTTAAAATTTGCAGACTGATAGAGAGTCAAATCCATATCACTAATGAAGATCATAAACAGCCTATTCTTCATGAAATTTTTATCCTGAAAAAGAAAAAAACAAATAAAAAAATTAAGCAATTTGTATATAGGAATAACCAAAATATGTATGAATCAAAGTACATTAATGTACATGTATGTAATAATATAGCAAAGAACTTTTATTCTGAGAGTCTAGTTAAAAACATAGTATGTTGTGTAAAGGTAGTTATTTGTTTAATAACACTGATGTCTAAAATATGTATAAAGCTATACCTTGCTATTACAATTATCTTTATAGAAGATGTAAACCATAGCGCTAAGTTAAACATGCTAAATAAAATAAAAGTTGAAAACAAATTTAACAACAGTAATATAGACATTATAGAATACAAAATGTTTTTATGGTATATATTGTATTTTACTGTATTAAGTGTGTGGTTGTATACACCTCTACAGACAAACATAAAGCGTCGCGTAAATAACAAACTAACACGTAAACATAAATTGAGTCAATATGTGCTTATGTTTATGAACACAGGCACGTGGTTGAGAATATGTAGGTCAAGTTACAATACAATCAAATTAATGTCTTTATCATTTGATAAAAAATATCCTGAAATGGAAAAACAATTAATCCTATTTAAAAAGTCTTCCGAAAAAACCTTGACCAAAAAGTCTATTAATACGATGAGGTCAAGATATAGAGCGAACGAAATTGAAACTAGAGATCGAGTGTACCTGGAACACGGAAGTCTATTTTTTATACAAAATAAACACCATAAAAGTGATAAAAATAATCAGCATGATCATAGGTTATCAAAACTAATGCTAGAGAAGATCGATAAAATAATACATGTTAACTACGTTAAAACACGGGAAAATGAACTGCTTAAAATATCAACCAGGAATACACAAAGGATAAAAATAGAGAATAACGTGAACAAAGCGGTATTACTGGTGATAACAATCTTAGTTATTGACGTGATTGATGTAAATTCAAAATTTAAATACCAACGATTCGAAAAGTTAATAGAAATCAGTGAAGCGTATAATGTCAATACTAAGGTGAAACAAACGTTTCATCAGTATATAAACAGTCTTCTAAATTATTCTTGTGAAGAAGCAGGACTAAACGAATTTAGTTTTAAGGCAGTCAAAAGTAATAAAAATATAATATCAAAGAACAAATATATAGAATGTGTTATTATTAATGTAAAAAAATGTTACTCACCATGTATGAAATTTAAAATATCCAACTATAAACCACCATGAGAAATTATCTGCATATATGCACGGTCAATGCTAATGGCCTACAGCAACCTGAAAAAATAAATAAAATAGTAAGTTGGGCAAATCAGCAAAAATGTGATGTAATATTCATTCAAGAAACTCATTTTATCAATTTAATGCAGAATACATTGAATAAAGAATTTGGCGAGAATCTTTTCAGAAGTGATGGTACAAGTAATTCGCGCGGGGTAGCAATATGGATAAAAGATAGAATTAATTTCAAAATTATTGATGAACACAAAGATTCTGAAGGGAGATTTATTCTGATTAATGTTGAAATCAACGAAAATATCTACACCCTAGTAAACATCTACGCTCCAAATAAATTAAGAGAAAGAAATAGTTTCTTCAAAACAGTTAAATCTTATATAAATAAATATGGATTAGGTCAAACAATTCTTGGGGGTGATTTCAACGACATCTGGTCATTGATAGATACAAAAAATAAAACTAAATCTTCCAAAAAATTTGATAAACCAGTAACAAGTTTAAAGGGGCTTATAAAATCATGTAAATTAATAGATATTTGGAGAAACAAAAATAAAAACCTAAAACAATATACTTGGAGTAGGAAAGATAGATCGGAGGCCACCAGGATTGATTATTTCTTGATTTCCAAGGAAGTACAAAAAAATTGTAAAAGTTGTGATATTAGACCTATTGTTCAAAAACTAACTGACCATAATGCAGTATCTTTAAAAATCAATACTGATAGAGGAAATAAGGGGCGTGGCTACTGGAAATTAAACTCCAGTATATTAAACAATGAGGACTATGTAAATATAATAACAAAGCTAATAATTAAATATGAAAAGGAATCAATTAACTGTAATGATTTGGGGATACTTTGGGATAACTTGAAAATAGAAGTGCGGGATGCAAGTTTAAGCTATTGTAAAAGACAAGCCAAATTAAAAAAAGATCAAATAAATATTTTAGAAAAACAGCTGAATTATCTCAACAAAGAAATAAATAATGGTACCCATATAAATCAAAAATTACAAAAAGAAATTGAAAATGTGGAAAATGATTTAGAGGGCTTGTATAAAGACAAAATTAAGGGACAAAAAATAAGGTCAAGGGTAAAATGGTTTGAAGAAGGAGAAAAAAATAGTGCATACTTCTTGGGACTAGAAAAGAGTCGCCAAACAAAAAAGATTATAACTGAACTATATGATGAAAATGGGTCTGCTACAACAGACCAAGATAAAATTTTAAATCTACAAGTGAAATACTACAAAACTCTCTATGAGTCCACTAACCCTTGTGATGATGATGTTAAAATGTATATTAAAGAAACAGAGCTACCAAAAAAGCTAAAAGACTCAGATAGCAATCAATGTGAAGGGGAAGTAACAGAAACTGAATGTACAGCTGCAATATTTAAAATGAAGCTAAATAAATCCCCCGGTCTAGATGGTCTAACAGTGGAATTTTATAGGCAATTTTGGAATAGCTTAAAAAATATTATTGTCAAGGTATTTAATTATAACTATGAAAAAAAAGAATTAACAAACTCTCAAAAGAAAGGTGCAATTTCACTAATATTTAAAAAGAATGACCCTCTTTCATTAAATAATTACCGTCCCATAACTTTATTGAATATTGATACAAAACTATTAGCTTATGTGTTAGCTCAGAGACTTAAAAAAGTTCTACCATCTATCATTAGTCTAGATCAAACCGGATATGTTAAAAACAGATATATTGGTTTTAACATCAGACAAATACAAGATATTATAGATTATTCTGAGAAATTTAATATAGAAGGAGCAATTCTTTTTTTGGATTTTAGTAAAGCCTTTGACTCGTTAGAATGGACATTTATGACGGAAACTCTAAAAAAGTTTGGATTTAAAACTAGTTTTATCAGATGGGTTGAAACTATGTATAAAGACATAAAGGGATGTATTTTAAATAATGGGTGGGTCTCAGGTCCTTTCAAAATATATCGTGGAATACGACAAGGGTGTCCGATTTCAGCTCTCCTTTTTGTCATAACAGTAGAATTAATGGCAATAAGACTAAGAAGTAATAAAGATTTTAAAGGAATAAAAATAAAATTAGAAGGAAAATCTTGTAATTTAAAAATTTGCCAATTAGCGGATGATACAACACTCTTTCTACAGTCAAGAAAAGAAATAAGTTTGGCTCTTAGCATAATTGAAACATTTGGAAGTTTTTCAGGACTTAAACTTAATAGAAACAAAACAGAAGGGGTATGGTTAGGGAGATTAAAAAGTTCAAAAGATAAATATGAAAATATAAATTGGACAAACAAACCAATTAAAAGCCTCGGTATCTATTTTGGGTACGACAGAAAAGAATGTCAAGCATTAAATATGGAAAAGGTGATAGACAAAATAGCAAAACTTGTAGAAAGATGGTCAAAACGAAAGTTAACACTACTTGGAAAAATATTAATAGTAAAAGCTCTTCTGCTACCAAATATAACGTACATTGCTACTAACAGTATCATAACTAAAGATTATCTACAAAATATAAATAAAATCTTATATAAATTCATTTGGAATGGAGGAAAAGATAAAATAAAAAGGTCAATAATAATTAAAAATTTCTCTGAGGGGGGGGTTAAAAATGATTGATATGGAGTCTTATATAAAATCAATACATTTAAAATGGATTTTAAAAATACTACAATCAGGAAATGCAAACTGGTCTGTATTATCAAAATTACACCTTAATAAATTTGGAAAAAACCTGCTCATTTTCAAGATGAATCTAAATAGCACAAAACTTCTAGATAGAAAAATATGGAATGATACACCAATCTTCTATCAAGAGATGATAAAAACATGGATAACTGTAAATAATTATGAAAACAATCATCATGATCAAATTGATAATTATTTAGATATCAGAAAACAAGTAATATGGGGCAATAGATCCATAAAATTTCAAGCTAAATGTCTGTTCTTTAATAATTGGATTGATAGTGATATATTATATATAAATGACATAATTGATAATAGGGGAAATATATCAGAAGAAATAATTATTTCAAAATTAAGAAATAAAAGCAATTGGATTTCTGAACTATCAAAACTAAAAAAATCCATACCAAAACAATGGATAGACAAATTAAAAACAGAGGAATCATTCAAAACTAAAGTCCATATTAACCGAACTAAAATTAAACTTAGAGATAATAATAATGTACTAACTATCAATAATAAAGACATATACAAAATAGTACAAAGTCTAGTAAAAATAGAAATACCAACCGGTTTTTTAAAATGGGAAAGAGTCTTAAGTATAGGAAGACTAAAAAATGAATTCAAAGACTCTATTAAATTCACTTTTGAGTATCTTAAAGATAATAAAATAAAAATGTTCAGGTGGAAATTAATGCATTATATTTTGCCAAACGAGGAGCTGCTTTTCCAGTGGAAAATTTCAACAAACAATTTTTGTTCATACTGTAATAAACTAGATAATTATAATCATTTTTTCATTACATGTTCATATCATAAAACATTTTGGAAATCAATGAAAGGTTTACTTCAAAAAGTCTGCATTGATGAACATGTAATAAGTCTTCATTCTCTTGTAATAGGATACAAAATTCATGACGAGGCATATTATGCACTAAATCATCTGCTTAGCTTAATGTTCTTTTCAGTTTATAAAGCACATTATGTTTCTAATAAAAAGGCTAAAATGGTAGACACATTAAGAATTTTCAAATATGAAGTAGAAAATATAGTAGAATTATATAGTATAGCAAATATAGAGATAAGCTGCTTATTAACAAAGGTGTTGAATATTCTGAGAAAAAATTGATGTCATTTTATGGTATTAAAATGCATTAAGCTAATAGTAAAAAAAAAAAACAGAGGCTATCAATTAATGTGTTAATGCTTGTGATACTTTAATTGTAAATGTACAATGTAAGTACCTACATGTATCTATATATGTTACGGTATGTACTTTGGGTGTGTGTGAGTTGTGTATAAATTTGTTCGCAAAAAATTAGTCCAAATGGTTGTGACGTCTTGAAGGGCTAATTTAGTTTCTTTTTCTGTGAGGCTTAACTACGTCGAAGGAAGGTGTCAGGGAAAAATGATTGGGTTGGTCTTTTGAGACTCATAATTGTTTGGACAAGCTTAATAATTCACCTCTGATATGAAGAAATGAGTACAAAATAAAACAGTATGAAATGTATGTATCAAATAGTTTACTAAAAAAAAAGACTCTATACTCTGAGCAAAAACTGATGGAATTTTATAAAATTAAGCTGGTACTATTAATAGAGCTACAGAAAGTATTTTTGTTGTAGTACCTGTACTGTAGAAAAAAGCATAGGCATGTGATGCTGTACATTGTACAATGTTGTAATTGCAAAAATATGTATGTACCAAAGTATGTTCCTGTGGATACTTCAGATGCATTGGTATATGTAGGCGTGTGTGTGATCTTTGAATATATTGATGCTGTACCAATGTTTTAAATGTTTACAAACATTTGATAGGTAAAGGTCACGACACAATATTTATTTGGGACAAATCAATAACGAATCTATTTAATAATTATAAACTAAGTTGTAAACACAAAATTATATTAGTACAACAACTTACCTTTTCGAATCATTATTCCAAATTTTCAAATCATTAAATAATATATGCAAACACCAGGATTGAAAATTGTGTATTCTCAAAATTGAAAGATTGAAAAGAACGTGCGAGGTCACTGACCGCATTTCGTTTCTGATACATTAAAGATAGTATAAAAAACCAATTCCGGAGTAAAGAATAATTTCCGTAAAAATACCGACAAACTTGTGTAATTATAGATATTGGAATATTACAGATATTATTATAAATATAAATAGTATACAAATTTTGTATTAATAAAGACTGTTTGTAACAGTAATTTATTTATTCAGATATTTATACCAATGTTATTTATTGTTAATTCTACGGAATATTCTCCCTGGATATTTAGTAGTAAATTTAGCAGGGATACTTGATGGAATGCTGTACACCAAGTTTTATTGTTAAAACAGCAATATGTGCAATAAAGAATCAATTTGAGTAAAAAAAAAAAAAAAAAATCATGTATCTAAAAAAAAAAAAAAAAAAAAGAGAGAAAACTAAACAGACATAATAATCAGTAATACATGATCAACAAAACGGATTTTTGTCATGAATTCTATTCTCGTCTACAATGTTGGAAAGTGTCCTTTGTTTAATATGCACATATACCAAGGTGAGCGATACAGGCTCTTTAGAGCCTCTAGTTTGAATTATGACTTATTTAGAGCGCTAACATTATAGATATGGATTGGATATTGAGGACATACGATATTTTTTCGTTGAATGTCCCTTCTATTTAAATGAAAGGGTTATTCTGTTTTATGGTCTCAGCTGGTTTCCCGATCAAAATGTGCAAATTGTTAAACAAGTCTAAAATTTTATAAAGAGACAAAAAAAAATTCCTCGTGGTATCATATCACGTCGGTAAAACGCACATCATCATCATCCTAATCTCTGTTGTTCTTTCTTTATTCATATTCCTTTTTTCAGTATAGTTTCGTAATATTTATGTTGTTCATATTGTATAATGCATTTATATTGTCATATATGTAGGACTCTAAAGTGCAATGGGGACGCTAAAACGCGATGGTCACGCTAAAGTGCGACGGCATACGACAAAGTGCGATGGTTTGATACGCTAAAGTGCGATGGTTTGATAAGCTAAAGTGCGATAGTTTGATACGCTAAAGTGCGATGGTTAGATACGCTAAAGTGCGACGGTTTGATACGCTAAAGTGCGATGGTTTGATACGCTAAAGTGCGATGGTTTGTTACGCAAAAGTGCGATGATACTTCGGTACTGACATGATTTATAACAATCCTGTCTAAAATTAAGGTTTCAACTCCCTTAGGCAAAGTTGGCCTTAGATGGATTTGGCTATTTTATTAGGGTATTTTTGGTCATATAGCTCTTCTATTGTTTCGGTTCTTATAAACAAAAAAAGTACATACCGGTAAACGAGAATGTGTTACCAGATGAAGGGTTTTTACTAGTCGAACTAGAAAAGAAAGAAGAGAGAAACAAATGATCCCAATCAAGAATATTTTGGTCGGTACTGGAAGAGATTTACTTTATTTGTAAAAAGAAATTTGATCAAAACACCTGGGGTGCCAAACACATAAAGGAGGAACTAAAATTACAAATTGGAGAAACAAGTATCAAATAGTATTTAGCCGCCTTTATGTATGATGACGATACCTGTTCATTATTCCATATAAGTACAAAGGTAGGAGAATCTTACATAAAATTTTATCTTAGGAAGATATGATAGTTGAAATCAACAAAAATCATAAAGTGGATCTCAGTAAAACTGACGCTGTTCATGAAAAACTAAGGAAATCATATTTTCCTACAGTTTTGAAAAAAAAACTAGATTGCTGTTTAAACAACATGTCAAGTGTTCTCAGCCGTTGATTTACCAAAGTCACAGATAACTAGAAAACAAATACCAGGTACCTATTCCAACAGTCGGAGCAAATTTTCAAAACTCTGTCCAGAAACGGGACAATTTCAGTACAAAAAAACATAAACAGTTTATTGTTATTCAATCTTGTATAACTGCATGCTACCTTGCATAAATGATGATTTACAAAGATTTAAAGCCAAGAGGTTATTTAAAAAAAAAACGTTATTTATTTGACATCACATCACGTCATAATGGTGTTCACGTCACCTCATAATGGTGTTCACGTCACGTCGTAAGGAAGTTTTGCGCTTTTCAATTAACTAACGTCAAGCATTTGCAGTGCTTGGAAGAAAACGTTCAGTTTTAATAAAACAGCACTATATTTTACTAAATTTCAAGTCAGTCTTACATATGTTCAGTGGGTTATTTCAAATCAAATCAAACTTTGCTTTCCGATTCCGGAAACGAGTACTTTCAGATACTGCAAATTACAATTACAGAGAGGGTTGAAAGGTAGGTTGATACAATCTTAAATAACATTATGAATTACCATTTTCTTGAATGAAATTGAAGTTGATGGAAGATAAAAAATAAACAGGTATCCAGTTTCATGATTTATTGTTTCTTCGAATGGTAAATGAAAGTTATATCGATTACACCAAAACTGCTTTGTCTTGTGAAACAGACTCTGAGTCAAAACATTTTAACAATCTCATCCCAAATTATCAACTTTCTAAACAAAAGTTTTCCTTAAAAAAGGTTGATATATCCTTTTTATACAAAATATAAGACCATAAATGATCTTAGCAGGTTTATTCACCGGTTTTCTGAAAATCGACGTGTAGCGCTTACGTTGAGATTCAGGACACGCTTACTTTAAGATTTAAGGGATACAAGTTCAGTCAAATATATCATGGTAAAAAATGTTTCATTGTAGAAAATATTTTCATTAGGAAACTGTCATTTAAATCTGAGGGAGGTGATGCTCTAAAATATATTCTGATTCCCAATTTTGAAGAAACAAATATTTTAATCTGGGAGGACAGAAATGGTCTGATTGAGACTTTTGCCATTAAATTTTAATATTAAGTTCTCCAAACAAAAATAATTTAATGCTTGTCTGGTACGAAAAAGGATTTTAGAATTGTAAAGACATACCCCCCTCTTTTCAAAGTTATATGGTTGTTCACTTACGTAATGTTACAATAACTTCGTAATGACGCATAAGAATAGCAGAATTGAAAAATGTAAAGCTTGATTAGAAAGCATTATCCTCCATTGGAAACGGATTCAGATTTTGATCATCCCTCAGGTTGCGGTCTGGTGTAATTAGTCATCGGGATTCGGATTCCTCCTCGAATTTCGGATCGGGATTCCCGATGATTATATGTTTAATGGTACAGGCATTTTGATAAAAAAAAAAAAGGGATTTTTTGATATTTTTTAGTTTAATTTTGCATCGAGGAACGTTGCTATCCAATATGAATTAATTTGCATCCAAAAAACAATACATAACATTACTTCCAATTAGTTAACACAATTTTGGTATTGGTAAACGATGTCCTTCTTATATGCTTTTGGTATAGCTAGTTACCCAAATTTGTCAAAATCTGTTAAAATCAGTGTTTCTTTTGGCGTTTATGATTAGGTGTTCTCCTTAGAGATTGATAAGCTAAAAACTTGAAATACACATATTGAGCTATTTTAATGTGATTTTAAGTAAAGACTGAACCATAAAAGGTAAAAAATTTGGAGCATTTGTCAGATAACACTTAGTTTATGTACATGTATTAAATCCTTACTTTTATGCGGATGAAGTTAAATTTAGTATCTTTTCAGAAACAGATTTAAACGTGTTGGTTTTTTTCGGCAAGCAAAAGTAATAACTAAAATATTTAAATTTAAACACGCAAGAACCAGAAATCATTTACTGTTCCGAAACACAAGATTTTTACCCTGTTTTACGTACCGAAAATTTTCTCGTGTCCTTAAATAGTTTTTAGTGTGAAATTGTCCCTTATTTGTTGTTGTTTGTTTTTCTTACCCGAGTTCAACTTGTCTTTTGTTTCTAAATTTCATCATTCATCATTCGAGAAATTTATAATAGTTATAATTCTATACACAAAAAAGTATGACAATCTGATAATGTATGATATATTTACTCATTTGAAGTTATATGCATATGTATTCTATATAGTCATTTTCGCAACTCGTCATATCAGTGAAAAACAATTCAAGAGAAAGACAACGGTATGATTTATAAACAAAAAAAATAATGAAAAACTAAAAAGGAACACATCAACAAACGGAAAACATTGCCTAAACAACATTCTCGTTACATCATAGCTCTTTAGCGTGTTAAACCATCGCACTTAAGCGTGTTGTATACCATCGCACTTTACCGTGTCATACCATCGGTCTTTAGCGTGTCAGCTGATCATACTTAAAAAAATAACAAACAACACAATCGCAATTTGGCGTAGACCATCACACTTTAGCGTGACCATAGCACTTTAGAATACCATCGCACTTAAAAGTCCTACAATATTGTATTGTGGATAAGACTTCATAAGTATGTTTTACATGTGTCTGGTCTTTTTTACTTTAAACGAATAAAATATGTTTAAACTAATTAAACCTCCTCGAGAAAATGATGTAGTCACTATGCAAACCCATTTTTTTTTTTTATTATTATCCCTTAAATGATCATTTACTTTTGAACTTAATATCTCTTATGATTGTGGCCTGTTATATCTATGTCTTGCATAAAGAGATATTTATCGTATCACAATTTACGGAGTTATGAAAACTGCGTTAATTTGATTGGCGTATCCAGCATCTTACATGTAAGACGATATTACGACATTTCCATTGGCTTTTCGGTAATTAATTGATGACTTTCAAAGGTTACGTTCCAATTGTCGTAACTATAATCCCGTCCCCTTTTCCCCGAAATGTGACCTACCAAATTAGACTTATCACCAGGTTAGTACTTACATGAGCAACACGACGGTTCGTGTTGCTCAATCTTTAGTTTTCTATGTTTTGTTTTATGTACTGCTGTTTGTCTTTTTCTTTTATAGCCATTGCGTTGTTAGTTTATTTTCTACTTATGAGTTTGAATGTCCCTTTGGTATCTGTCGCCTCTCTTTTAAGACGATGCACATTTCATCCATGACAACGGTCATATGTAATTTCTTCAATAGTTTACAAAACACTTACACTTTGCACCTGAAATTTTCTTTTTGTCAGATTGTATTACATTCTGAATGGTACAAAAAGTTTATAATGTCCAATGTTAAAGTTTTACGCCGGAACAGGACATATGACGCCATACTGGTATGAATTAAATACTTTATCCTGTTTCCCTCAGTTTTGGTTTGTGACCCGTATTTGTTTCAGTTAAATCGATTTATGACTATTGAACAGCGGTATACTACTATTGCCTTTATTAAGAGTAATTTCTTGCAATCTGATTGGCTTATAAATGTCGGTGCAATTTTTTTTAAAATCAATTCGAATCATCTCCCTTATACCATTGACTTTATAAAAAAAATTCTCAATATGAAACGAAACCAAAAAAAAAGAGATATGTTGGATATATTTTTGGAAATAAGTGGTGTGGAAAAAATCAATAAATAAGTGGTGTCATAAAAAATTAGGATTTATTCGTTACGTTAGTGTGCAATTGTCCTAATACGGAATTTATCATGGAAAAAACCAATAAATGAGTGGTCTGATAAAAAAATCAGAATACATTCGCTACACAGTTGGCGATTGTCCTAATACGGAATTTATCGGGTCAATAAAATTCATGTCGGGTAAGGCGAAGCCCCACCATTTTTTCTTAAAATGTCCTATACCAAGTCAGGAATATGGCAGTTGTTATCAAATAGTTCGTTTCTATCTATGTTGGCGTTTGTTTTTGTTGCACTTCAGTGTTCCTGTTGTTCCTTTGTTTTTCTCTTATAGGTGATGTGTCCCTCGGTTTTAGTTTGTAACCAAGATTTGTTTTTTCTCAATCGATTTATGACTTTTAAACAGCGTTATACTACTGTTGCCTTTATTTATTGACCCGATAAATGCCCGTATTAGGACAATTGTACACTGTGTAACTAATAAGATCAACGATTCGCGGAATTTTTGATCTAACACAATGAGAGAGTGTTGACCATTTGAGAAATATGTTTAACAACCCGTGAGAATTGTATATCGGTTGATATCAAATCTTGTTATTTTATTTAAACAGTAATGATAAATTTCCCAAAGGCTCGTTCATTATTGTATTGAAAGTAAATAACTGAAATTAAAATCAAGTGATTTCCAATTCTAACTCGTTATAAACCTATAAATATTACTTATATCTATTGCAATGCATATGGAAGAGGGACGAAAGATACCAGAGGGACAGTCAAACTCATAGATCGAAAACAAACTGACCACGCCATGGACAAAAATAAAAAGACAAACAGACAAATAATAGTACAGATGACACAACATAGAAAACTAAAGACTAAGCAATACGAACCCCACCAAAAACTGGGGGTGATCTCAGGTGCTCCGGAAGGGTAAGCAGATCTTGCTCCACATGTAGCACCTGTCGTGTTTGAAATATTATTATACACATGAAATAGCAGATCTCAAACATATACAGATAGCTGTACTTATCCTTCTGTTTTATCCTTTGATCGAAAATATAACTTAAAAAAAACTGTCAATGTACTAAATCACGGTCACAGAGCTACCCTAATTAATGTTAGTTAGGGCGTTTCTATTTAAGAACAGATTTGGACAGTTTTACTTTAAATCTTATCTCGACAGTTCTACTTTAGAACAGTTTTCGACAGTTCTATCCTAAAACTGTTTTTTGACAGTTCTAATATAGAACAATTCTTTTATATCTTTACTATTATTTGGCTGTTCCTTGTATAACGTATGTCATTTTTATGATGGTAAACAATTGCACATGCTTCTTCAAACGTAAGTATTAAGCGTATACTATAAATTGATAGATGTTGTATGTATGTCAAGAAGAAATGGGATGGTACGTCGAATCAACTTTAGCTTGAGGTCAAGTTACTGTAAATAGACTATGTTGCAGATTTTGGTTAACTCTTGCATTCAACTTTGGCTCGTTGAACTTTACCTGAAAATCGAAAAAATAATGTATTTATCTCTTTTATTGTCTAAATATTACTGAAAAAATTTCCTCCAAAATATTTGTACAGAAAGCGTATAAAATCTTATTTTTGTACGGTATGCTTCATTCAAAATACTGTTCTTTGTAAAAAAAAATACCACAAAACGTCAAAATAAGCGTAACGTCACCGTGTTGAAGGCCATAAAACGTCGATGTTTGACGTTTTTCACTACCAACTAGGTAACATTTTGGTTGATACAACAACAAAAAAACGAAGTCGGTGACCATATGATTATTTCATATCATTAAGACGGAAATGTATGTATCAACAACATATAATTTTTTTAAGAAAATCTATGGATTTGAAATTTGATATTTGACGATTTTTTAATACAGAAATAAGATTGTTTTTCGCCGATTTTATGTGCTTTCTATACGAATAATCAACTATTTTGAAAGATTCAATCATGCATTTGTCAGACAATAAAAGTGATGAATTCCATTATTTTTTTCGATCTTCAATTATAGTGCAACGAGCAAGAGTTATATACAAAATTTTACTTAAATCCTTGACAAAGCCCATTCACTTTTTTTTTTATATTTGACATTTTCGAAATTGCAATATCTTATTTCGAGTTATAGCACGATCTGGAAAGAAATGAATGTTTGAAGTGGTATATGTGGCTTTATTTAAACTTTCGTGTTTTAAGATTAATTTCCAATCATTTTTTGTTTTGTTATAATTTCATTATGAATAAAGATTTTGAATGATTTAAAACTAAAAAGGCAAACGGTTTTCGTAGCAAAAACCAAGCGATATAAAGTTCTCTGTGATGAGAAAAAGATACCTTGTTGATTGACAGGTAGTGAATATTAATAAAATGAAATGTTTTGTCACATGTTTCCCTATTACATTTCAGGGTCTTATTTCTTTATTTTTGTCTTTTTTCAAAAGATTATCATCTTAATGTTTTAAAATCACGTACTTCAAAAACCTTATTAGTTATGCTGGATATGCGCCGAAAAAAATTCTGCAATTAGTTATTTAAAAACGGTTTTTGTCTACTTTGATTTTTAACGAGTCTAGCCTCAATTACAGAAATAAAATCTAAACTTGTTTTCATCTTGAAGTTATATTTCATTGCTTACACTGTGTTTATCCACCAATATTTATTATTTCAGGTGATATACGATTAATTTCTAATAGACTTGAAATATTGCACAACGGAGAATGGGGCACAGTGTGCGATGACAAATTTGACGTTATTGATGCTATAGTGGCTTGTAGACAACTTGGCTACAAGTAAGTATACTTTTTCAGAATGTTAGTCGATATGTATAATTGATTTGCATATATTCGATCTTTGTCACAGTATGTTTGATCAAAATCTGATGCTTTTAACACGAAGTACATAATTCCTTCATATATTGCATCTATCTGCTGGACTATGTAGCCGAATTTGGATGAGTTTGATCATTCAAAATGCTGACGGTTTTCCTGAAAATAAGAAGGAACTGTTAATTTTCAGTTTGATCAGACAACATTAAATTGCTCAAATATTCTGTTTTATACATCTGGGTTCAATAGACACTATGCATTTAATAGTCCGTTCTTTTGCTATCAAAAAGTTACTATAAGTGTATTCTATGTCGCTTCCTGGTATATATTTTTGTACAATATTTGAAATGGTAAGAAGTAAAACGAATTTTATCCAAATGTAGTATTTATTGTCTCCAGAAACAAGTTTAAGTATGTTTATTCGAATAAGTTAAGTACAGGTTGTCTAAAGGAAGTATAAATATCATTGGTTTACTGCTGAAATTAGAGCAGTGGTAAAACAGTAAATACGACAGTTTTAAAGTGAGTTGTAATGTAAACGTGTCGATTCGCCGTTTATGGATTGCTATTAGTTTTCGATTGCAATTCCTTTGATCGTCAAACAGCGAACTGGGCCATACAAAAAAAGGGTGATATCGTTATTCATTTACATTTATATAAAATTCTGCTATGCACCAGTCTTGTGAATCGTTGACTGAACAATTCTTTATATGATATTTTATTTTGGGGTATCAAAATAATGTTCAGATAAAGTCTCTTAAAAAACGGAAGTATGTGAGAAACTTCTAAAAAATGTTATTTCATTACCTATTTTTTTTTTAATGTATCAGCAATGTGGCAATAGATATAATACTATGTATTGAAGCTTAAATAGTCAACATTTACTTTCAATATATAAATAGTTTCTTTATAACTTTGAACACATTTTTAAATCATATCCTTTATTTCCATACGTTTATTGTGTGATTATAACGACAGAAAACAATATTTTCTAATGGAATTTAATCTTCCATCCGAAAATTAGGCAAACAACTTTTCTGAATTCAAAGTGTAAAAAATTAATGTAACATCTATAAATCTAGTCCGTCCGAAGTGCTTCTCTGGATTTATCTTCATCAGAAACGCTTACATCCAAATATTTTGAAGACAAGGATGTATAAGAACCGAAGGTGAAGAGCTTTATGAAAAAAAGAGACACAAAAATAATATTTAAATTCATCTAAGGGCAAGTTTGCTTTAGGGAGTTGGAACCTTACTTTCTTAATAATTTGATAATTTATAAACGGACAATTTAAAATCATATGAGTTTCTTGTAATGATAATGTTATAGTAATTATTGAACCAATGCATTCATAAATACTCAACTTAGTCCTTTATGCACGTTTTTTTTCTCTCTTTAAAACGGACCCATTGATAATGTTCCCTACAGTGATTTTTTATTGCAAACTTTAGCACCTAATTTACTTTTGATTGTGTTACCGAACCTACCAGATTGTGAAATTGATAAACAATAAACACGGAACCAAGAAGTATGTGAAAAATTAGTGAGTTGATAGAACTAAATAATTTGTTATTACATTGACCATGCGTTTCAATTTGTTAATTTAACTTTGCCATAACAGTTGTTGAATTATTTGGTGTATTAATTTGTTCTTTCATAATCAACTAACACTATTGACCTTCCAGTACACGATAGTTTACATTCTTTTAATCATTGTGTTTTCCTCGCACTTGCACTGTGATTGCTGAAGATCTATCAAGAGCTCTCATGGTTAAGGTCACTCCATACGGAAAATACGGATATGAGTACTGGAAGACAAAAATTCAACAGCAGTACATTTCTGAAGATTCTGATAAGATAAAGGATTTTCCTTTACAATAACGTCCATGTACACTTGTTTGTTAGTAAAACGTAGCCATTCAAGTATTTTTAAAATATTTAACTTTTTAGTGTTCAATTTGAAGTTTTATATAACATTTGGAAAGTTATGATATAGATGTTAATCATGTAAAAATCGAAGTGCTGACTACTGAGCTGATAGTCTACCAGTGCTAAAAATTTTATGCATCTGAAGTGTTATTCTGGATATCCCGTCATCGGGAACACTCAATTCCGAATATTTTGAGAGCCAAGGATGTGTAATAACCGATTCAGGTGAGAGCTAAATTACGGAAAAGACCTACAAATAATAAAACTTTGTAACTAATGTAAACAAACGTGCACTGGAAGGTAAATAGTAAAAAGTTATTCTTAAACAAATCATTTAAAAACTGTTAAGGAAAAGTTAAATGAACAAATGGGGAAACATAGAAAATTTAAAGAAATATCTTGGCTCTGTCAATTCACTTATTTTTTATATAATTAGTTTAAATCCTTTAAATAAAACAAAAATATTGATGTCATTTGACTAAAAATTAAACAATGATGAATCAATCAAATAGAATGAAAGGACAACATGAATCCATACCGCTAACCAAATTATGCAAAGTTAAACGAGTGTGCCGACTATGTCAATCATGGTTAGTTCCAATGAATCCTTGTATTCAAAATGTCTACCAACAACATGGCGATACAAAAATGTATAATTATTAATTTACCTAATATACAACGAACTAAAAAATACAAAATGGTAACGTGCAATGAAGAAAAAACAGCGAACAAATGAGGTATATGTACAAATAAAATACAACCTAAAAGTCAGTCCTCCAGATTGGACAGACTGTTACTATCAGAGACAATGTGGGCTGGTGTAAAATGTCCTACAGAAGGGACAGTACGCTCTGTCAACTTCAGTTCAACTTGTACGTTTAGTTTGAACCGAGTACAATGCTCTTAAAGCATCATATAATCTCTTGAATAAACGTACACTCTGTTGATCAGCTGTTCTTGCTGGAACATTTACAAAAACCAGAGAGCTATTACTGATATGTCCATAATTCTCTTGTTGAATACATTTATTTTCTTAATAGTTGTGTTCCATAAATGTTAACCCAAATTATCGCTTATATATTTTTTCAATTAATGACAAGGTATCAAAGTGAGGCTATTTTGTAGTTTTTGCAGCCCTATATGTAATGCAATACGTTTGAAGTCCTTAAGAAAATTTGTAGGACAAAATTAAAAGTTTTGATATCTGAAAATCAAATATCTAATGAACGTCTAAAGGATGTCAATTTATAAATTCATAATACTTCTTGATTTTTGAAATTGATTGGGCCTTACCATAAATTCATCTTTCAAATAAATATCTATGAAATGTATTGACTACATGCAAATGCACATACCTGACACCAATAGCTAAGGTTAATGTTGATAAGTCAGGAATATGACATTTTTTTTTAAAACATGTAAATCATAATAAACAATGGCAAATGACTGAAAAATCCATCAAGACATTATCAAAATAGGCACATATATATACTGAAGCATTTATCCAAGTTATGATGATAGCAATAGAGCAGTCGGGAAAATGGTAATAACTGTATCATTAAAAGCTGTAAACTGACTTAAAAGTAAACTATTTTTGAAAGTTTGTCGTACAATAATGTATAAGAAAATTTTCTTACGTTATTCTAATTTACGGTGGCCGTTTGTTATACTAACAACATGCCTTTACTTAAAAATTACAATTCCGATCTGTTATGCTATCTAAGAAGGTGAATTGAAAGTATAAGGTTTAATTTTATTTTCATGATGATATTTGCCTTTTTACAGCAATGGAATTTCCTTGGGCTCCAGCGTTAGTGATGGTAATGGTACAACTTGGCTTGATGATATGGAATGCACTGGAAATGAACGGACATTGTCTGATTGTTCAAATAATGGTTGGGGTGTGGAAAACTGTCGTCACTCTGAAGACGTAGGGGTAAAATGTTGGAACTCCACTGAAGGTTAGCATTGGTATCTTATATCAACATGATATTCCATTTAAAGAATATAAAAAAATAGCATACACTTCCCGAATTTGCTATAGCATGTTGCTTGAAAAAGACAATGTCATCTAAATGAAAATAGGATTACAAATATTGGCAATTATTATCCGTTGGAGAATAAAAAATGGAATTAAAATTGCACTGGGTGCAGAATTGACTAAAACATTTTTTTTTATTAAAAAAAAAAGTAATATAATAACTAGGACTTTATATCTTGAAGTTAACTCCTTTTAAGTCAGTGTCCTAGTTTCAGTCTATATTTTTCTATTCGTAAGTGTATTAAATCTGAAAATTCTACAACAATGTTCGTCTCATAACATCTTAACCAACGATACAAATTTAAAAGGGCATAAACTACGATTTTTTTTGTATCAAACATTCATAAAAGAAGAATATAGCAATAATAATTGGCTATTATATTCTATGTTAATATTCTTGTAATTGTTAGAAAATACATCAAATAACAGCATTACAAACTTAATCCCGATTTTATATTCAATTTTTAGCAGTCCGTTAACTTTGAGTTGGTCAAAATAAGATTAAAACATAGGTGATATATTATTGAATTGCAGGTCAATAATTCAACTTTTTTCAATCCGTATTCATGCAACCTTTAGTAGGGTGCCCAGTGTTTAAAAAGTCCTCTAATTCACAAGTTTAAGTTAATGGAATAACACACAGCTATTTTTTTTGGGAAAACTAAAGGAAAATCATTATATTTTACAATCATGATTGTCGTCGTAAGTTCCCGTGGTCACGATTTTCAAAATTTTTATGTTTTTACAGGGTTCCCCCAGATACTGTATTATACGGGGAATCTTAACATGAAAAATAGAATTATAATTATTGCGCTCTTTATTTGTGGTTAAAACAGTACTTATAATATAGTTTAAATATTAAATATATCATATAACGAAAGAGGAAAGTATTTAAGGGATTTTGATATAATTATTTCGGCATTTTAGTTGCCCTAAAATTTTACCCGAAATTTACCACATTTTCATCGAAAGCAAAATTACTACGTGTATCATCACGATTATTTTTACTCTGATTAAAGCAATAAGATACAATACATGTGTGTAGCAAATTTCATGACTGTGTGAAATAAAAGTCGTTTTGAAGAAATTAGCAATGAAAAACAAAAATTAAGTCAACATTTTGTCGTTGATTAAACACGGATTATCTCGTGTTACTAATCATTTTGTTACTTACACTATTAGGTTATTAGAAAGGACAGTGGTCACTCAATACATATCTTATTTTTGCTTTTTGTGTGGTTAATTTATTTGTTTTGAAGAGCCAGCTAACTTTGTAGATTGTCATTCTCTTCGAAGGAATATAATTTGTGTCTTTTTTTTCAAAACCTAAACTTTTTTTAATAGATAATTTCGTTATAATTGTAGTATAAGAATCAAATCGTCTGTTTCGTTTCACACCCGGAATATGGCAAACCAAGTCTATGTAATTATCTTGAATGATGTTTTCGACCTAAATGCCCCTCGTTGTGAACGACAACAAAAATCTACCACCGTTCGTGCTATAAATTATACACCAGCTGACACAACTGCAGTAATTTCAAAGCTGAATTGTCAATAGGTTTGTCCGGGCAAATCACTGAGGCTTATGACCTATGTGTACTATGTTTCAAATTGGAATGTTTGGGGTTTTTTTTTCTGTGACAATAATACAATTAAAATTATATGATCAGCCATAAACAAGTTAAAATTTAAAAAAAAAAACAATCCAAACGAGAAAAGAAAACTAACGGTTTCTTTTACATGTTTTATGACAACAACACAGATACAACAGACAGCGACCATCGACAACCACTGAATTGCACACTCCTGATTTTGATAGACACATACAACATTTGGCGGGCTTAAACATGTTTATGTTCTTCGACCCTCCCCTTACCTGGACAATGGTATAACAACACAACATAAGAACAATCATGTTGGAAATGTTGCAAAAACAGTTGAAAATGGCTTTACTCAACAAATCGGCATGAAGCATTAAAACAACTAACATGAAGACAAAAGTCCCCAAGTATCGATCTATTAGTAATCGTCGTTAGAGTATGACCATTTTATATTGGGGGAAAAGGGGGCGAGGGGGGAGAGGGGGCCTGGCGGCAGGAAATTTTTTTCTTGATAGACCATTTTTTTCATCTTTTGCTACGCATGCTTTTTTTCGCGGCTTTGCTGCACGAAAATTTATTTTCCCTTTTGTACACATTTGTATCCTCAACTATCCTGCATTTCATGTCTTGTGCAAAGTCATTTATTTTCAGTTCATACCATGCCAAGTTATTTATTTTCAAAATCTTCTTCCCCCTTTTCGAAATCAAATGGCCGTCTCCTTACTGAAAGCTAATGACAGAGCGTCATCAATGCAAGTCAAAATTTATAAAAGTAAACCATTATAGGTCAAAGTACGGTCTTCAACACGGAGCCTTGGCTCACACCGAACAGCAAGCTATAAAGGGCTCCAAAAATTACTAGTGTAAAACCATGCAAACGGGAAAACCAACGGTCTAATCTAAATAAAAAACGAGAAACGAGAAACACTTATAAACCACATCAACAAACCACAACTACGCTCATAAGAGGATAACGAAATCAGGGATATATATTTCAATAGATTGATGTTGTTTACAAGTGTTCGTAAAATACATCGATGCTTTACATAACCTCTTTTTGTAGAAAATCTTAAACTTCATGTCAACTGTAGGCCAATGTATGCTCACTAAGTCATTTGAGTGTGTAAGATGGAGTGATTAACCTGTTTCTAATCGTCAAAAGATTGTCAACATAACTTTTCATAACTTTTCATAACTTTAACAGACAACCCTCCCCCTTTTTCACCGTTTGCAGTATTTCTTTTTCTATAGAGCGAAGATATACTCAGACCTGCTAACTCAATCCATCCTGCGTTAATATTACATTGAAACTAAATACATTTTGATGTGCTTCCACACTCACCAAAAGAAAATTGAATATTAACACAGAAAATCATTACGAACACCTTCTATCAAAAGATGGTTAAATAAAATCTTGGTAGGGCAACTTATAAATGTCAATATCTAAAAACATCTCTAGAGATCACTTGTATCGAATCTTATGTACAAATATTTCGAATTTCGAAATTTTAGTAGGTCAAGGTCACTTGTAACAGCTGAATGAAAATTGTAAATGTGCACTATATAAGTACAAATGTCAATTTCGAACTATATTTGTCAACAGAAATATCAAATTATTCCAAAATTTAGAAACGATAGTCATAATCCTTTGAACTATTTGAATTTATTTTGCTATAAACACATATAATTATGTAGGTACGACCAGCTGCCTAAACGTTTTCCTTGACATTTTAGCTTTGACCTTTGACACAAATTTTAGCAAATTGTGACCACTGTAGACAACGACGACATCAATATTTTGATAAGGATTGTTCTCCTCTTTCCAATAATATAAAATAGCTGTGTGTTATTCCGTTAGCCCAAATCGATCAAATCCGTTGACTGGGCACCCTAATACTTTAGTTTAGATGGATAGGCATGTGTTCATCATGTAGTTTAATTATTTAAAAGAAAAGATTGTCAACATTGAAAAGTGAACAAGGAAAACACCACTTATAACCATTGTTTTTACTTATCCGGCCCAATGAATAATATTCGAAGTAAAACGATGATATACATGTAGAACTCGGTGGTGAGATGGTCACGCTGAAGTGCAATGGTCTATGTCGAAGTGCGATGGTCTATATGACGCGTGATTTTAATAGTAGAAAGATAAATTTGCATTCGTTATTGTCTATGTATATCCTTAGTTACAGTTGCATACAAAATGAGAGATCGTACTCTTTGATTGACTTTCCCATCTCCAACAATCACTCCCCGTTTCCCAAAGTATTTAAAGCCTTATTAGCTCCTTATTAACTTAAAAACCCGAAAAACTGCTTCTAACAAACAGATTGACTTCTTCAACGACAAGAGAAGCATTGAAAATATAGTTTATGTAGTCAATCGCACTTCAGAGGTACCACCAACGCACTTCTGCGTAGCTATCAACAAGATAGCACCACAATGCCACCATCGCATTCCAGCGTGAACAAAAACGCATTTCAGCGTTTAAATATCGCACTTCATCGTGATAATTGCTGTTTGGAGTACCATCGCGGTTCAGAGTCATACATATATACATTGTATATATATAAATTGAATTTGGTAAAAATCCCGATATTTAATATTGTAACGACGTTTGGGTGTTCTGATGTGACGTTACTATCATTGTTTATTGTCGGTTTAGTGTGGGTTGAAAATGTTAAGGAAGTTCTTTTCCTTAATCATTCTTTTGGTCTCAGATAACGCACAAAGAAATTGTTATCGGGAAAATATGGAATTGTGGAGTTTGATCTTTGGCGCTGTTTCTAATATGCCCGCTCAGATATACTTGGGGTATTCTAGTTGACGGATCTATTGCTTGTGTACTGTTACTATTTTGCTTATATCTCCAGTGTGTCCAATGTCCAAATTATCCGTACAGCCATTGCATGTTATAACGTATATTATTTCTGGACAAGAACAATGAATATCATATTTTATGGTGAATGTCATTCCAGTTTTGCTTTTGAATGTATCTCCTTCTTGAATGTAAATGCAGGTACCTTTTTGAATGTACCGTTCAGTTTGGCCTTCCACATCTTGTTACTTTCGAAATACTGTTGTAAATGCTAGACTGGTCAGATTTAGTTTTTTGTTAATAGTTTTGACAGTTTTTACATAGTCGTTTAATCTGTATTATAGTATTATTTTTTAGTATAGTGTTCATCTTTTGATTGGTCTGAAGTATCGTGAAAATGCTCCGAATAAGTCCAATAATTTCTGGATTCTTTGGATTAAAAGATGATAAAAACGACATAACACTTGTTTTATAATTTTCTTTCTTTGGTTTTTCTAAGATCTTGTTTTTCAATTGATCTTGCATTCTCTATTTCTTTGTTGATAAATTTTTCGGGATAATGGCGGATCAGAAGGAAACATTTTGGTTAGGTGAAAGGCACAATTAAAGTAGTTTTATCCGAAACAATGAAACATATTTCTCTTGCTAAATTGAAAGGTATTTTGAATTTAGTGTGCCGTGGATAGTACGAGTTAGACATTAAATATTGTTTTGTATCCGTAGATTTGAAATTTTTATCCATTGATATTTTCCCGGAATTGCTTTCACGAGCAGATGTAAAAACTTTAATTTCTTGGTACTTTTTCAAATCAGATCCGAATTCTTCTTCAAATTTATTGTATTACTATTTATTAAGTAATCAAATACGAAAATCGCATAAATTGGTGCCAACTTAATGCCCATTGCTGTACCTTTTGCTTCTCGTTTCCATTATGACGGGAGATAGTTATAGAAATATGTGGGGTCCATGATATAGCTCTGAACTTTGAAAAAAAAATGGCTGGAGTAATATTTATAATTAGTTATTTAGCATGTGTGTTTCACGTTAAGTTCCTGCAAAAAAGGACGGCATTTAAGGACAACTTGTTCTGTTATTTGAACGCATGAACTTGCATTGTTTTACATGCATTATGCATAAATATCCAAAGTATTAAAAGCCATTTTTATGAACGGGTAGTAAATATTTATTAAATTAAAACTCTTAAAACCTTTTACTTGTACGTTTTATGGTATCATTTCCTTTTTTTTTTTAATTTTTTTTGAAATAAACATCATCTTAATGTTTTATATTCCGTTTTCCACAAACTAAATTAATTTTTTTGGATATGTGCCCAAAGCTTTTGCAATAAGTTATGTAATATCGATTTTTTTTTTAATTTTGATTAATTCTTATTATTGTCAATTTATAATTTCAGTTTTGAAAGAACTGTAATTAGTAAATAAAACTATCAGCTTTTTTTTCGAAAGATAAAGAAACGAAATGCAACTAGTTTTCATGATGATGTTACATTTTATTGTTTACAATGCGTTTAATCTATTAAGTTATAAACATTATCCTTAACTTCACTTTCCGCTATGTAGATGGTGTTCTCTTACTAAATGTTCAAAATTTGGTGACTATGTTGAACGCATCTATCGCATCGAACTTGATATAAAGGAAACAACAGATACAATTAAGTCTGTCTCATATCGTGACTTACATCTAGAAATTGACAATGAGAGTCGGTTGAAAACAAACATTTACGACAAAAGAGTTTAGCTTCCCAATTGTAAACTTTCAATTTCTATGTAGCAACATTCCAGCAGCGGCTGCATACCGAGTGTATATCTCCCTATGATACGATATTCCAGGGCTTGTATTCCCTTGATAGAGGGTTGCTGCTCATAAAGAAGCTATTAAAAAAAAAGGTCCAAGTGGTGCAGTTGAAAACATCCCTCCATAAATTTTACGGGCGCCATCACGAGTTTGACCGTTATGGAATATCTGTTTCACAGATGACGATGGATATGTTCCAATTGTCGTAACTATAATCCCGTCCCTTTTTCCACGACTGTGACCTAAACTAAACTTATCACCGGGTTTGAACTTACATGAGCAACACGACAGGTGCCACATGTGGAGCAGGATCTACTTACTCTTCCCGAGAACCCTTGACTACCCTCAGTTTTTGGTGGGGTTTGTGTTGCTCAGTCTTTTATGAACAGTTGATTGTCTGTTTGTCTTTTTTCTTATTTAGCTATGGCGTTGTCAGTTTATTTCAACTTATGAGTTTGAATGTCCCTTTGGTATATTTCGTCTCTCTATTAATGCTCATAATTTCAGATGATATACGATTAATTTTTGGAAGACTTGAGATATATCACAACGGAACATGGGGCACAGTCTGTGATGACAGCTTTGATGACATCGATGCTCAAGTGGCTTGTAGACAACTTGGAAATAAGTAAGTATAATTTTCAGAATTCTAGTCGATTTTTTTAAATGCGTTTCATATATAATATGGCGTCTTACAAGTTCATTTGGATTGATCATTTTTTTCTCCTGATGATGATGATGATGATGATGATGGATGGCTGCTTAACGTCCAGCGGCAAATTGATATGCTGTTCAGGACGAGAACATGTTAAAGTAATATAAATATTAATCCTGCTTCTTTGTACTAGACTGACACGCTGAGCCGGATGTTAACGTGCTAGTTCACAAGGAAAAAGTCCGCAGGAAGACAAGTTACCTTACCCGGACTCATTATTCTGACTCCGAGCCGACCAGTCTTGCTCTTACTCCTTAATGCTTACTCCCTAATGTTTTGTAACATTTCATGAGTTGTTGACAAATATACTGTCTAAGAGAATGAATTTGTTTGTAAAATCAAAACTGCAAAACACAAAGTCCTTCTTTAAGTAAAATACTGATAATTGAAAAACGAATTCGACATTCCGCTTTTGACATTATCTCTTAATCAATTCTGCATTAATTTCATAAAATTCTTGTGTCTAAAACATTAACCATAGACTTATCTACATGTAAATGTGAACTGCATAAAACCTACGTTTATTCATCGGAACACGGCAAATTCAAAAATATTTACAAAACTGTGCTATTGGTACTGTCTTTTAATTATAAAACGCTTCTGTCCAAGATTTGTAAAATTCTAGAATGAAATGATAAACTATATTTAGATATTTACAACTGCAACACGATACTTTGCTCTGGAAACTCTCTTTTGATATTTGAAGAGCTAATAAATTTGGTAAAACATTATAAGTTTGACAACATTACAGATGTCTTAAAAACTATAACAATATTCTCTATCTTAATGCTAACTGCAAAACCGGAACATTTATGAATAGAATAAGGAAAAATTAAAAAAAGTTTGCCCGGGATACTGTTTCTGGATCATAAAGAGTTTCTGTCGATGTTTAATATATTTTCATGAAAGCTTGAAAAGACCTTTTGAATTTGTTCTGATTATTATCTTTCCACCTTTCCGTGGCGATCCGTTGACTCCATTTGCAAGTTGTTTTCCTCACTGTATACTGATTTGATACTCTTGTTTATGCGGTTGGAATTGAGGTTAATTGCAAGATCAAAGGTAATTTTACTCCACTGGGGAATAGAACATGGTCACTATATGTCTTCTTTCTACCGGCATTAAAACCCTTGCCAAAGTGGGGCGTCCGTTTGGTTATGGGGGATGTAGAGGTATGCAGCCACGTCTGGTCAAAATGGGGACGTTAAATACTATGCCTCATGTAGATTGAGCGCCACGCTTGAGAACCTTTGCAACAGCTCTTTGAGGGGTGCGTAGGTGGCCTGGTGCAAGGCAAAATTTCTGTCCATATCTTATACACCCTAATTTCTTAGTGGCATGAATAAAATAAGTTGTATGTTAATATAACTCATACACCATAACTTCTTGACACGTAGGTACTTTTGATTGAAGAACCTTGCTTAACGAGCTTGAAATTAAGGTCGAGATCAAATAGCTTTTGACCTTGCTATAACTTCATACCAGAACAAATGGGAAACATCTGAAATTGAAAAAGATCAATCGGAAGTTGCCATGTATACACAGGATTATCCATTTTGCACCAATCGAATGCTTAAGTTCCTGCAAACGAAATATGTTTGGGACCCGTGTTAAGTTATATTGTTTATCAAATCGTAATTTTTTATAAAAAAAAAGTGACTTTTTTTAAAGAAAGGAAATGATTTTCATTCTTGCATGCAAATTACATAGATACCATATTTTTGAGAAGATATCGGTTGACACCAGAAGGTATAATGAGAAACTGCTAGAAGTCTCCTTTAATTTATTTAAAAATTACGGCAACATATGTATTTTTGGAATCAAAAAAGCTCTTTTCCTACACCGACAGAGACTGTTTAAAATTAAAAATACTATTCAAACCTCATTTTCTTTACAAAATATGAGTTGAAAAAATTGAGCTTTTGCAATTTGATTAGGGAATTTTCATTTTGAATTTTCCTCAGAGTTTAGTATTTTTGTGATTTTACTTTTCACATATGTGGTATATGGTATCGAACAGTTAATTCGCTTTTGAAACTGACACTATTTAAACGAACAAAATTTTTTGTGAGGGTAATCACCACACAATGTTTTCTTTGTATTCACTACACCTTCGCAACCATAATAAATTATAAGAAAATATTTTTTTTCCGAAATTATGTTAAACTTCATCAAGATGTGGAGAATTATTTTGACCGAACCGATCCGGAGGCTTCAAATGAATTATGCTCTCTTATGTATTTCATGAATATAGATTCTACCAATGCATCGGGTGTGATACGATATTTATCCACTTGAGACAGTTCAATTTTCAAATTTAAAACGCGAGGCTCGCCGAGCGTTTTAAGAGCCGAGCGTTTTAAGTATTTAAAATTTAACTGATGAGAGTGGATCAATATGTATTGCACGAGAATTGGTGGTGGAATGTGTTTCTCTTATGATTTTTAGACGACAAATTTAATCCTTCTTTTCGAATGATCTGCAAAAAGATGCTTTCTTTGTATGTGACGTCATCAGACATGGTCACCTTTTTTCATGACGTCACAATGGGAATTTCAGAGGATATAAAAAAACTTGACGTCATAATCAAATTTTGACCAATGAAGAACTGAGATCAAACGAACCACACGTTGATTGAATAAAAATAACTAACGGGTCAGGGAAAGGATAAGTAGGGTAAGAATTACAGAAAAAGGAATACGTATTTGTTACGAGTAAAGAAAATGTGATGGACACCAAGGATTTTTTGATTTAATGCCCTTACTTTCAGACCTTTAATCTGAAGTCAAGTTCAAGGTTTTGTTTGACATTCTAGATTTTGACTTTTGTTATAACTATTGACACCTCATAAAGTCAGGTCTTTCGCATTTGGTTATAGATGTATGAACTTGAAAAGTGCAACCGGAAGTGACCTTTGGTAAACCGAAAGTAGTCATCTTTATACTTATTTCATTTAAAAGTATTCTTCACAATGCATTTTAAAGAATGTTAAGGAGCGTATCAAATAAATCAGGAACTGAAATTTCATAACCGAAATAAGCACGTTATTTCATTTTGTTAAATTAAAAGTATAAACAAACTATATATTTCTTGAATCAGATTTAGTATGACACTAGAAATGATTTTCTTTTTTAACGGAAGTTGCTTATGAATAAAATTCCTCATACCAGAGCTAATCTATTCATTTAATTTTATCATTTAAGAAGATTGAAATAAGTGCAAAGCTCTTCAATTGTTCTCTGAACATTAGGGTTTGTATATCTTTTTTTGCGAGGATTGGTTATTTTTGTAAGATGTCGTTTAGATATTTGGTATATCATATCGAACAGTTAGTATTAAGATGGAACTAACAAATTAACTTAAGACTTTTCCTGCTATGAGTAATCTCCAAAACAATGTTTTCCTGTTATCTTTACTCCTTCGAAATATTAAATGATACCGACAAAATACTGTTTCCAAATTGACGATTGTATCCTCCGGGTGTCTAAAATAATTTTAATGGAAGCGATGCGGAGAAAATTAATTTCCTTAATGTTATGACCATAAATGAAGTTTTCTTGTTACTCGAAAATCGTAAGTAAGTGAGTCCGAGGATCTTTTCATTTTAGACCCTTTGTCCACAAAAAAGGAAATGAGGGCAATGTCATACTGCAATTGTTTACTTAAGATTGATATCATTACGCGTAAGAAACCTTATAAAAAGTAAAATAACAAAAAAAACGAACTCCTTGGAAAATTCTAAACGGAAAGTCCCTAAGCAAATGGCAAAATCAAAAGCTCAAACACATCAAACAAATGGATAACAACTGTTATATTCCTGAATTGGTACAGGCATTTTCTTATGTAGAAAATGGTAGATTAAACCTGGTTTTATAGCTAGCTAAATCTCTCACTTGTATGACAGTCGCATAAAATTCCAAGGATCTAAAATCCAAAGGTCTCTTTTATGCCTAGTTTATGAGCTATATCACCGAACAACTTATTTGTCACATTCAACGATTCAAAGAGAGAAACACCTATATCAGGTCCAATGAGGTTTGTGAATAAGATATTCACAAACATTGTAAACTGTGACATGTCCTAAGAAAAAAACTTTGATCAAATGGGTAAGGTGAAAAGTAAAATCACAAAAATACTGAACTCCGAGGAAAATTCAAAACGGAAAGTCCTTAATCAAATAGCAAAATCAAAAGCTCATACATATCAAACGAATGGATAACAACTGTCATATTCCTGATTTGTTACATGCATTTTCGTATGTAGAAAATGGTAGATTAACCTGGTTTTAAAGCTAGCTAAACCACTCACTCTGTATGACAGTCGCATAAAATTCCATTATATTGACAACGATGTGTGAACAAAACAAACAGATATTATTGGTAACAATGTCAAAATAGGGGTACAACAGTCAACATTGTGTTATAATCTTAATCACTATAATAACAAAAAAATATGTACCAAAGAAACACAAAAGGGCATATAGACAAAGCACATAAGCAAAAATGAAAGACAAGAATACAAAAATTTACCATTGCACAACAACACAATGACGGGATGTATAAGTACCGAGCCACGTCAAATGGATATAACAAAAAATAGACTAAACAGTAATGTAATAATTAACAAAGACAAACAAAAGAATACTATAACACGTTATTAGGATGATAAAACAACGTCAGTACCTAGAATCTATACTTCAAGACCATCTTGCATATTTTGTGAAGTTGATACGGAATATTTATCAACAAGGTCTTGGTATCTTCCGATGAACTGTTTTAGAAAAAGGACGAGACGTTCTTTAAGATACCCCTGGTTTCTGCTCAGACACTGGTGACGTTTTACAAAGCCTGAGTAGCAGCTGCATATTTGATAGCAGTTTTCCCCTCTAAAAAATTTAAATTTAACTATATGGT